TCTTCACTAATGCAGATGATAGCTCCAATGGAGTTTGTTAAAAGTTAGTGTCAAGCTCTGCATCTCAAAGCACCTTATGGTTCCTTAAAAGCTGAAAGAATTTTAACTAGATTTTCTGTATCTTAATAACACGAAAGAATGTTTTTGAAGACTGCTGTTCATTGCACCATAATCTCTTTAACTGTGTTAAGACACTTAGATATTTTTTAAATAACTGTGTGTAATTTTGGGGAAAAAAGGATATCAATATGTGATTATTATGAAAATGAAGAGGCAGCTGCTAGGTATGGAATTTTGCAGAATCCTTGATGTGTTCAGTGTAGCATTACTAAATGACTGAAATCTAAATAACATTTGGCATTATAATAGAAGAAAATAACTGACTAAGCTAGCCTAAGAAACAGTGATACTGCACCATAATAAGAAGTGGTTTTCTTCAAGCAGCAGACTTTATTCTCTGAAATTAGACTGAAGAAAATGGGGGTAATTAAAGATATATACTTAATGGACAGCAAAGCACAAAAAAAAAGTGGGTTAAGATACACCTTCAGAAGACATATTTGTCAAAAATCTTTAGTCATGTGAGTAGCTGTTTTCAACACTGGCCCTTTGGTGGGTATGTTCTTTGTCTGGAATGCCTGAAACCTTCAATTCATCTTAATATTAACAGTGAAGATTTTAAGGTGATTTGAAAGACTTGATGTAGAATCTGTCTTGCAGACACCTGTTGTGAGAAGAGAACCTCTGGACCATGCTGCCTGGAGGACTAATTTACTTTTTCTATACATCTACTTGTGTCTTTTCATTAGTTGTAATAGTTCTGCAGGCTTGGAATTATAATGGTAATACTGTCCTTTTAATAAATTCACTGTAGCTACTGTTAAGTGCCCAGTTAAAAAAAACAAACAGCTGTGTTCAGAGAGCAATAGAATAAGGAAAAACAAAAGTCTCTTTCTTTGGGCAAAACAGTTATCCAAGCATTATAAGAACTACAGTATATTTCTCTGTGGTAAAGAAACATTTCCCTTTCTGTTCCTAAAACCATCTTGTATCTCTAACATCAGTTAGCAACTGCAAGACTGGTGTCAGGAGCAACATATCCCGGTTGCATTTTGGAATGAATTGAGCTGGGACAAGGGGTCCTTGGAGCTTACTGAATGGGTGAGAGCTTTTAAAGGGAGAAATCAATACTACAGCAGGATTTAGACAACTTAGCAAAATGTATCAGACAGAACTTTGGTCAAAGAATAAGTTCGATAGCAAGTTAACCCATAGAGTGCCTGAAATACAGTCTATAGCGTTTCACTTAAACTCTTAGTTGAAAAGTAGAACATTAGTTACACTAGCAGGGGACTGGAAGTATAGTAAAGGTTCCAAATCCATTCCCTAAAAGGTCTCTTCCTCACATGTGTTATCCAAAATCTCTTTATTATGTCTGTGACTTTTCACACTTCATGTTAGACAAGAGCAATTAAAGAATCGCTCCATTAAGCAAAATTGCTCAGATGTGAAGAAAATGTACATTTTTTTCTGAGTTACTACTTAGTAGAAAAGGTACCTTTCTGACAGTCAGAAGGAGGAAGCAATACTAAAACAACTAAAATACTTACTTGGGACAAGTCTTGGTAGAGCTGAATACCTATGTTTTGTTTGAGAAGAAAAGATTAGCATTTGAAGGTTCTATTACTGCAAGTGACAGACACAAGGATAGCTGCCCGTAGTGGCAGAACTAAAGAGTGACTTTGGTCTCAGTAAAATTCTACTCATTTTTCACTTTAAAAAAATCTCTTTTTCTTATTGAAATGACATAAATATTAAGAGCCCATAAAAAGACTAAGGAAATGGCCAGTAAAATTATGCTGTTGCCAGTCAAATACTACAAGTAAAATGTAGAGGAGTCACTCCTTTCCCACCTGGTTCACTTCAGTAAAGTATAAGTTTTAAAAGCCTGGTTGGAGGTATTCAAACAATAGCTTGCATAGCAATTATATTGTTTCTTTGGCAGTTTCAGAACCAAGAAAATTAAATCCATAAAATTACATTAACACCTCACTGAACACTGAACTTTCTTGCAGTCCTGCCCTCAAACTGAGTTAGGCTGTGGGAAACTGTATTTCTTCAAAAGTTTTGAAGCCCCGTCCACCTTCAGTTAAGGCGTGAGAGTTCCAAATTCACTCATTTGGCATTCTTAGTGGCCCTCGGTGAACGTACGCAAGAATGGAATCTTTTTCTTATTATATATTATTATATAATACTATTCAAGTCATCAAATATGAACCATTCATTTTGTGGTTGAAATTAATACATTTCCTGGAAGTTTGTGGGGTTTTTGACTCTTCCTGAATCTCCATGTGTGCCTACATGCCAGGTACCTCCTGAGCTGCAGCACCTGTTGACATGTTCAAGACAGTTTCAGGTTTGTTGATTTGGGTGTTCCCAGCAGCAGTGCTAAAACAGTATGGATCTCACCTCTGTTGCAAAATTCACCTCAAATCTGGGT